TTAGGGAAGGAAAGCTTATGCCCCGCCGGAACCTATCCTGTCGTAGGGGACCGCGGGATGTACAGCTGGCGCACCCGGCTAGAGCGGCGAAGGGACGACGCGACCCCGACCGTCTCGGTGGCTAGTGGGATATTTTACGTCGCCCTAGAGTTGTCTCTTGTTTTGTTTTATTTTACTCTTGCGTGACATGGTCGGGATGACTCTCGCCTTTGCGGAAAAGGCGGGGGCCGATGCGCTCGACAACGTGCCCCCACCCTTTTGCTAGGGTAAGCACCAACTGGACCGGCTTGTAAAAACTCATAGGCAGTACCCCGCAAAGGTCCATGTGGTAACAGGTTCCCGAGCTAGTAACAGGTAAGTAACGGGTCCTCGAGCAAGCATCTGATACGCAGTGGGTCACTGAGCAGACCTTTGGCACGCAGAGGAGGGCCGGGACACCGCACCCTCCGACAACGTCGGACACTAAACTGACAGCTAATCAGATTCAACCCTAAGATACAAGATAGTTGCAGAAAATTTAAAGACTATCAAAGTTTTTTAATGCTCAGAACCCATTCTATGATGGGAAGTAGTAAACGAATAGAGGTAGTTGATCTAAGAGAAGCCATTGGAACAGATCGAAGCCTCATGGAGTGATGCTCACCCAGGACTAGCCCTGAAACAGGGATGTTTCAGAGTCACCATTCCTTATCAACACTGGAGTGATTAATTTTTTTATTTTTTTAAAAAGATTTTTAGTGAAGGTCTCTAAACAGGTCGAACCCTGCAACAAGAAGTAGCTAAAAGGAAAAGGAAGCAAAGAGGTGACCCATCCTTGAGTTCAGACCTAACTCTAGCATACACGTCGGATACTAAATTGACGGTTGATCAAGTCCAACCCTGGGATACAAGACAGTTGCGAAAAAAACAACGATATTCAGGTTTCTTAATGCTCAGAACCCAATCAGTGTTGGGAAGTATGAGACCAATCAAGGTAGCCGATCAAAGAGAAGCAACTGACACTAGGACTGACATGTGATCATGTTTAAACAAAAGATACAATCCTCTTGCAGAAAATACAGAAGATATTCAGGTTTCTAAATGCTTAGAACTCATCCTGTATTGGGAAGAAGAAAACCAATAAAGGTAGTTGATCAAAGAGTAGCCATTGGAACAAATTGAAGTCTGGTATAATGATACTTACTCAGGACCTGCCCTGAGAAAGGGGTTATATATATATATATATATGAAACTCCGACGAAACATTTTATCACAGCCCCTCGTTTCTTGTCCTCTCCTTTCTCTCTGTCTACGGTTTACCGGACAGTTCTGTTTTTGACGATATATGCTACGACTTCGCTAGCTTCCTGCTACGATTTTTTCTGGTCAGGTCGAGCGGCAATAGTCGGGGCCGTTACTAGGCGGTCATGCTGTGCCTCTAGTGCCTGCGGCGTGTCTGGAGTGTATTTTTTTGCTGTGACAGAACTTTCTTTATTTCGTGGATGTTTTGCTGACTTATGATGAGGTGTGAACCGACAGTTTGTAGAGTTTTTCATCTGGTGTGGGTGAGTGATAGTCTACTTTGATTTCAGTTAAGGTAGATTATCATTTACAGTGTAATCAGTGAGGGGATTCTGCAGACTGTTGAGGGTTTAGCCTCCTAATGAGTCAGTGAAACTCCGACGAAATAGTTTGTCACAACCCCTCGTTTGTTGTCCTCTTATTTCTCTCTGCCTACGGTTTACCGGGCAGTTCTGTTTGTGATGATATATATATATATATATATATATATATATATATATATATATATATATATATATTACGATTCCTAGTTACACAGGTATAATCTGAGTAATGGTATGTAAACAGGTACGACCTTTCAGCAAGCTACGGTTGCCTCAAAGGGGAAACAAACGAGGTAAGGGACTTTGAAGTTAAGACTAACCATGATATTCCTGAACAGATAGTAAACTAGTAGTTAATTAGGTTCAACCTTGAGATATAAACAGTTGCAAAGATCAAGGTTAGCTTATAGTACAGAAAGCAATCCTACTACGAGAAGTGGAAAGTCGAATCAAGGTGGCAAGTGATAATCAGACTACTGTCTTAACCCGAAAACAAGGTACGTACCTTGTATACGAATACAAGGTTCGGGGTACCTTGTATTCTAATACAAGGTACGTACCTTGTAGAACGAATTTTAGGGTGTAACTTTCCTAGAGCGAAGGGGGAAAAAATATAAAAAATATAGTATATATTAGTAATAAAGAAATAGGAGGGAACCCCGCACTTGTGAGTAGGTCGGTGCAAGGTACCTGCCCTTCTCCATTTTCTTTGCTCTTGTGTAGGGTTGTCGGGGCATGGTCCCTATATTTCGTTTCAACATCGGATTCGACGCCTTTAGGGAGAGGTGCGAAGCATCTCAATTGATCTCCTGCTATGCATTTCTGCGGAAGATATGTCCAGAATCTGGTGCCAAATGGTACAACGGAAAAAATACAACTCCAAGAAATAGGTACGTACGTTATGCAAAAACTTCTTGAAAGTTTTCAAAAATATTTTACGTACCTTTTTTTGCAGGTGCCTTCTCACGGTCGCGCACCTGTTCTTGGACTTCGCGAGATCGTGAGATGTGCTTGGAGAAGCAAATCTTGCACTGCGCTCACAATTCTGCATGCATTCTTCCCTTTCCAAACACGAATGTGTGTGTGTGTGTGTGTGTCACAAGCGGTTATTGGGTTGCTGAAAATTTATAAATGAAAATTATGAAGCGAGAGTTTTAGGCAGTCTGAAAATCCTGAATGGTCCTGAAGTGGTGAAAGGCCCGAAGACCCTAAAAACCACCTGTTTAGGCAGACTGCATCCTGAAGTGGTGAAGGGTGTCCTGAAGTGGTCAAGTGGGAGTTTTGGGTAGTCTGATGTAGCGGACCCACCGGGAAGGTGTTCCGCCTGGGATACAGATGGATATGGAGGATGAGGGAGGAGCGAGATGGCACAGTGCAACTTCCACGCAAGACTCCAAAGCACGTACTCCACAATCGTGCAAGTGTAGAATGATCTCGAAAACAGACAACAACTGGGGTATACTCCAGCGGACTGACGGGACTGGACTGCACTGGCTGGTACCGACAGAGGTACCGACCTGGACTGGACTGCCCCAAATAAAACACAGGCATGTGAGAACAGGCCAAGGGGCTGGTCTCACAGGCCAACCAGAGGTCCGCTACACGATCCTCGGTCTGTGATGGATCGCCTAGATACAAGCACGCTTCCGCCAAGAAGCGGAACTCTACCAAAGAAAAAGAAAACCTGAGTAGTCTAGGATGCGGAGCAAGTTCCATGTTGAGTCCATGCGATGCAACCTAGGATAGAAAATGTCACAAAACAACAATGTCACAGCTAACAGCCTAAGTGAAAGCAGAAGCAACTAACTAGCATACATGTCCTAAGAAAGCAGAAACAACTAACTAGCATACATGTCCTTGGAAAGCAGAAAATAGTGACAACTCGATCCTAGAATGTTGGAGGCAGTAGCCTCAGTCTGGGAACAACTGACTAGTGTATAAATCTTAAGAACAGCAAAAGCAGAACAGCTAAATCCTAGAAATGTAAGAGGCGGTAGCCTCAGTCTGAGAGCAACAAAGCAATCATATGTCACATGAGGAGTGTGTCGCAAACCAAAGGGTGGGATGGTCTCTGAGGGTGGCGAATGCAACCTAGGGGTCGAAAACTCCTAAGGGCATCCACACATAGTGACAGGGGAAACACATGTCATCAGGCTCAATGAGGGTAGGGAAGTGGGAGCGAACGGAACCAATGACCCTAACAGATAGACCATCAGGGCGCGTAATGCTCGACTGAAGGGGTGACCGCTATGGAGGGTCGACCATGCAAGGGGACAAGGGAGCCTGGTATACTGGGCGCACCTAGATGAAGCATGCGGGGCTGCCTAACTAGGGCGTGAGGGCTGGCAGAGGGTAGAAAAATGATGTGTAAGGGAATCATGCAGGTGACTCCTAAGGTGGGGAAGTCGGAGCTAGATCCGTAAGATGGGAAGCCAGGGCAACGCTACGGTCCCGATGCCTATGCGTATACTAAGGGAGAGCCCAACTCAAAGGAACCCGGCTAAAGGGAGACCATCATGCGACACAACAAGGGTACTATAGAGGGTAAAGTGGTAAGAGAGTGACGACATCTGAAGTAGTCAGAGCTGATCGTGATGAAGTCCATGAAGCTGCCGATGACGTCCACGATGAGAAGTCCAGAATGTCGTCGAGGAAGAGCCGCAACGTCGACGAGCTGAAGTAGCAAAACTGATGTGGATGGAGTACTGAGAAGTCAGAGACGTGGGAAGGTAAGTCAGAGTCAATCGTCGTATCGAGCAGGACGACGACGAGTGCATTTTGGACGCTCAGAAGCATCCGGCTGCTGCTGAAGGTCTGCCTCAGATGGAGCAGGCTCGACTTCAGCGGTCTCCTCAGCCTGGGGAGAAGGAGGAGGGTCAGTGGGCTGAGGAGGAGCAGTGAACCCAACACGACGAGCACGGTCATAGGCACGCACCAACATGCGAGCGTGCTGCAAGTGCTCGAGGGGCTCCCGGGTAGCCTCCTCGTCAGGGTAACCCTTCCAACGTACGAGATACTCGACGTGGGGAGGGTTGTCGTTGGTGACTCGGCGACCGATGATGTATGAAACGAGGAACTCCTCATGGTCGTCCACCATGATGGGTGGAGGGCGCTCGTATGGTCGTCCAGTGAAATGCTCAGACGGTCTGCGGTAAGGACGCAGTAACGAGACGTGGTAGACATCGTGCACACGAGCCTGACGTAGGTAGTCGGGCAGCTTCACACGGAAGCTGACTGGGCTGGATGCCGTATCAGAACCGACGGCCTGGAGGATGCGGCATGGGCCAAAGAAGTGACGCCGAAACTTACGAAGCGTGTCCGCTTCGAGCTGTAAGTGGCGGGCGTCGATAAGCACATCATCACCGACTTTGAATGGATGATCCATCCTCGATCGGTTCGCACGTGCTGCCATGCGAGTCTGGGAAACGGTTATGTGCTCATGTGCGGTTTTCATGATCGACGTCATATGTGCAACCCAATCATCCAGCACAGGACAACTCGTGTCGGGGTGCATCTGTGACGGTCAAAGGAAGTCCGCGGGAACACAAGAGTGATAACCGAGGTCGCAATAGTAAGGCGACATCCCATGGCTGGCGAGACGGCGTGGTTGTAGGCTATCTCCGCGTGGGCAAGATGGAGATTCCACTGCTGGTCATCACAAACAATCTTTCGGAGAATATCTCCGAGAGCCCTGTTCATGATCTCGGTCTGACCATCAGTCTGAGGATGGTAAGATGAGGGGAAGCGGAGCTGAGTGTCGTACACCTCGTGGAGCCGTCGCCAGAATCGGTTGGTAAAACGAGGGTCACGGTCAGATATGATGCTCAGAGGNGAGGGGAAGCGGAGCTGAGTGTCGTACACCTCGTGGAGCCGTCGCCAGAATCGGTTGGTAAAACGAGGGTCACGGTCAGATATGATGCTCAGAGGTAAGCCGTGGTCACGCACGACTCGGTCAAACACGATGTCGGCGACCTCACATGCACTGATGGCATAGCGGCACGGAACAAAGCGTGCACGCTTCATGAAACCGTCGACGACGACCAGGATAGCATTATGACCGGTGGGGTTCGGAGGACGAAGAGGACCGATAAAGTCCATCGAGATGGACTGCCAACGACCCTCTAGGATAGGAAGAGGCTGGAGCAAACCATAAGGAAGGTCGTTCGCACTGTTCACCTCCTGACAGGTGGGACACTCTGCGACGTAATCCTTCACAAAGTCCTTGCGCTTCGGCCAGACGTACAGGCGGCTCACACGAGCCAACGTCTTGTGGAAGCCCATATGACCAGCGGCTGCCTGGTCATAGAACTCTGCTACTGCTCGGACACGTAGTTGTCCAGTGGAGGGAACGCAAATACGGGGCTCTCTGGTGCCCTGTGAATCATGCCAGTACACAAGATAACTGTCCCCGAGAGAGTAGTTCGGGACGGTCTTGCCACTCCGAAGGGTCGTGTGGATGTCGCGATAGTCAGGGCAGTGACGGTACTGAGTGCGAAACTCGTCGATCACCGAGTGGTGGACGGTGGTGACCGAGATGGAAGAGAGCTGGATCTGTTCCTGGTCGTGGTCAGGGCGCCGGGATAAGGCATCTGCGACCCGATTAGTCTCACCCTTGATGTGCTCAGTGGTGAAACTAAACTCGGATAGGTTGCGCCACCAGCGAGCCTGTCGAGGAGTGAGCTTCAGTTTTGTCAGAAAAGCTTGGACAACAGAGTTGTCCGTACGCACCGTGAACGGTGCCCCGTGCAGGTAGTGACGCCAGTGCCGAGTGGCATAAACTACTGCGAGAACCTCACGTTCATCAGCAGTGTAGTTTATCTTGGCGGGCAGAAGCTGACGGGAATAGAAGGCTTTTGGACAATCACCTGAGCGAGACTCGACAGTGTCGTCCTCGACGATGGTAAGACAATAGTCAATAGAAGGCTCGTAAGTAGCTGGAGGAGTGGGCGTCAGTCGGAAAGCAGTGGTAGGGGTAGGTGGTGGGAAGCGAGGGATACGGGGATGAGAGGAATCAGGAGAGGAGGGGAAGATCTGAGAAAGCACTGCTCCTACAACAAAGTCTGACGCATCGGTGGTAAGGATAAAGGGGCGATCAAAATTAGGTAGGTGAAGAACCGGTGCGCATGTCACTGCCTTCTTGAGGGCGCGGAAGGCGTCCTCGTGGAGGGGTCTCCAAGCCCAGGGTGGTTCTTGCGAAGGAGGGTGGAGGTAAGGACGTAGGAATACCTAGCGTATCCCTGGATGAAATTACTATAGTAGATGGTAAGGCCTAGGAAGCTGCGAAGCTGCTTGGCGGATGTGGGGACGGGCCACTCCGCGATAGCAGTGATCTTCGCGCCGTCCATGTGGAGACCCTGGTCAGACACGTAGTGTCCTAAGAAATCCACTTTGTGCTGTGCAAAGTGCCACTTGCTCAGCTTGGCGTAAAAGTCATGTCTGCGCAAGCGGTCAAGGAGGTCGCAGAGGTGTCTGCGGTGCTCCTCAAGGGTACGACTGTAGACCAGGATGTCGTCGAGGCAGACGAGAACGTACTGCTCCAGGATGTCCCTGAAGATGTCGTTCATCGCCCTATGGAAGGTAGCGGGTGCGTTGGTGAGGCCGAATGGCATCACAATGAACTCGTAGTGGCTGAAGCGCGATCGGAACGCTGTCTTCGGCTGGTTGGCTGCAGTGACGCGGATCTGATGGTAACCGCTACGAAGATCAATCTTCGTAAAGAAACGGTTGCCTGCTAGGCGGTCGAACAGCTCGTCGGAACGAGGCATGAGGTAGCTGTTCTTAACCATGTAGCGGTTGAGCCCGCAATAGTCGATGCAGAGACGGAGAGTTTCATCCGCTTTGCTAGCAAAGAGGACGGGTGCACCCCACGGGGAGTTGCTGGGTTTAATGAAACCCAGTCTCATGAGCTCCTCAAGCCGACGCTTGAGTTCGGTGGCCTCGGGGATCGAGAGTCTGTAGGATGCCTGGTGGTGAACACGATAGTCAGACACAAGTTGGATGGAGTGCTCGACGTCGCGCATCGGTGGGATGCCAGTGTACGAGAACGACGATGGGAAAACGTCGTGGTACTCTCGAATGAGGTCACGAACTGCGGGCTCCAAGTCGGCCGTATAGCGTGCGAGTTCCTCAGCGTCAGCGTCGGCGCGCGACGACGGGGCGAACTCGACGGACGCTCGATGGGCTGCGGAGGGTGGGAAGTAGAGATGGGAACCATGGAGATCGAAGGAGGATCTGGCTCTAAAGGGATGAGTTCGGCGTCGGGACAGGGTGGATCATAGTGTAAGAGATCCGTCACGTTCACCATAAAGAAGGTGGTGTCGTCCTGTCGGATAAAGTGAGAAAACTGTCGAGGCGAGATGACAGTAATAGAAGGAGATGGTGTGGGCGCAGAAGGCTCCGGGGGAGGAGGATCGGGGCGTGGTGTCGCAGTGGTACCTATGAAAGGTACACGATACGTCTGTCCACACTTCGTTTTGAGAACGAGAGTGTTGGTCGCCCAATCGGCCTCGGTGCTGCGGAACCGACAAGACCACGGAGTGTCGAGAATGAAGTCGTACCCCGTCTCCATCACATCGAAATGTGCAGAGGAGCGGTGGCGATAAGACGCCGGGGGACGATCAGTTGGCTCGAGAGTGAGGTAGAAAGGGAGGTCGGTGACCGTCTGATCGAGGAAGCGTTGGGTCTTGTCATCCCCTAGGGTGACAGAGATGGGAGTCGGAGACCCTGTCGTGGGTAAGCAGACTTTTTTCACCACACGTGGGTGGACGAAGTCGCCTTGAGAACCGGAATCCCACAGCGCTGAGTACACCCTCGTGGAAGTCCCCAGTCGTACGGGGATGATCGGGAGGGTGCAATCAGGGTCAGAGAGGATGGTGAGGAGGCGACGCAGTGCGGTGACATGGAGGGTGAGTCGCTCCTGACGAGCCTGGAGCATGCTCAAGTCCAGAAGAGAGGACACAACGTCCTCGCGAGTAGCGAGTTGCTCGCTGCAACGGGCTGAGCGAATGGCTCGACGCGTCTGTAGTCGCGGTGTGGTAGGAGTGGAGACAATGGTCTGTGGAGGCGCAGACGGTACTGCGATAAAGGGCTGAGTACACTCTGTCGGATCCTGCGAGACCTCAACTCCAGTAGCAAGAGGGGAAAACCGCGACGGGGATGTCGGGAAGCCGGCTACTGAGGAGGGCGCAAGTGTACTCTGCACCATGGCTAGGAGGCGCCGCCGGGATGCGAGGCGCCGGGGGGGGACTGAGCACGACGCTGGCGGGAAAGGTCAGCGTAGTGGCGGTCGAGGGCGGTAGTGTAAGGGCACCGCGAGGAGGTATGACCGTCCTGGCGGCATCGCAAACACCCACGCCGGCCCAAAATAGTCGTGTGCTCCTCAACGGAAAGGACACCGCGAGGAGGGACAAAGCCCTGAGGGAGGTCCTCCTGAGGGACCTCGGGGGGGGACGCGCCAGCGTGACCGGGGTGGTTGCGTGCCCGGGAGAGGGCGGAGAGGATGAGCTGGAGGCGCTCGGCCATAGGGAGAGTAGAGTCCGTCAGATGGTGGTGGATGGCCTCGCCGAGGTCGAGGTCGACGCACTGGTTACCCTCTGGTGACAGCGGGGCACCAACGTCTTGCTCACCATACTCGAGAGCGCTGAAGCGGCACGAGAAGTGGCGGCCCTGCAACGAGGAACAGCGGGGGCGACCGCGGAAAGGGGAACGGCGCTGGGAAGTGCCGTGAGAGGAGGAGGAGGCGTAGCCCGTGCGCTGAGGCTGGGAGGAGGAAGCGAGGTGAAGACGGACCCGCATCCGCTGATGGCCCCTGGCGATCTTGTAAGCCTGCGGGGCCGATGTGAACTCGTATCGCCATAACTCGGAGCGGTACTCGAGCGAGAGGCTGGCCAAAAAACGATCGATAAGGGCAGCCTCGGGGAGGAACGCCACGTCAAAAATGAGGCGGGCGTCCTGAAAGACCTGGATGTGGCAATCCAGGCCGGCAGCGCCACCAAAGCCGGACCAGCGTGTAGTGACGACACGCTCAAAGGCGTCAGTCACGTCATATCGGGCTCCGAAGCGATCCTCGAGGAACGCCTGGAAATCCATGAAGGTCGGAGTCCGACCCTCACGAAGGGAGTAAGCATAGAAATCCTCCCAGGCGTCGAAAGGACCGCCACGCAGGCGTGTGGAGAGGTGACCCACCCACGTGTCGGGTGTTGCGCCCATGAGCTGGAGCATGCGGGTGGCAGACTGCACCCACCGAGACACGCGTATGCCTGTACCGTCATACAAGGCAATGTCTGACAAGCGGACGAGTGGTGCGCCACCATTTTGGCGGCGAGGCGATCGAGGGGCAGAGGCCTATGCCATGGCTGAGTAAGTCGGCGCAGGCCCTGGAGAAAGGGGCGCAGCTGACTGTGCGCCCGGGCCGCATGGGGGAGCGGCGGGGGCAACTGCGGCAGGCTGCGAGGGAGCTGCGATAGAAGAGGTCGCAGCAACCGCGGGAGTAGGAAGAAGGTAGGATGGGGCTGGATAGGGTGCAGGGCGAGGGAAGCGAGCTTGCATGGAAGGAAGAGTAGAGGAAGGAGAAGGTGCGCCCGAAGGCACTGCCACCTGTGAAGGTGGGGGTGGCTGAAGGCGTAAGAGGGCGAGGTCGGCCCGGATCCGGGCAAGCTCGTCCTCGAGACGTTGGACGTGGATCGAGTGAGGAGTGGCAGGAGGAAGAGTGGAGGAAGTGGACGCACAAGTGGCGCGGGTCCTCCCAGAGGGAGGAGAGCCAGGTGGCACTGCGGTCGTGCGAAGGGAAGCGAGAAGCGGGGCACCCGAAAAAGTTGCGACCATGGTAGCGGGTTGTGGTACCGTGGCCGTAGTGACTGGGATCTGGCGGGTGCGCCCGTAGACTGAGGGAGGACCTGACTCGTGGCGGCCGTCGAGCTAGGGGCGTGGACGGTCACCAAGATGGCCGGGTCAGGGAGAGCGGAGGAGGAAGCTCCACCGTGGTCACCCTGTCGGAGGACTAGGGACCCGGACTGGGAGCTAGGAGAAGAGAGAGGGTGAGGAGAGGAAGGACAACCTGCGTCCTGGAGTTGCCGCATGCCGGCGGCAAGGGTCGCCACCTGCGCCTGTAAGGGCGCGAGGGTCGCGAGTTGCGCCTGGATGGGCGCAAGGAGGGAGGTGAGGAGGGTGTGCAGATCCCCCTGGGGCTGGTGGCCCTGGTCCGTCGGCACGGGTGTGGAACCCTGTGCCAAGGTCGTCGCCGCATCGGCGGCGTGTGACACATTGTCGGCCATAGGGAGGTGACGGGCCGGACTGAAGGGGGCCAGGAAAGGTCCACGTGAGCGGAGGGCGTAGGGGGGGGTCCGCGGTAGAAAGCGGCGGACGGCCCTAGCAAGGCTAGCACAGGCGTCGTCAAAGGGAGAGGGGTGATTCGGGTCTAGGGTGCCCGAAGAGGGAGGGGAAGTGGGGGGGGTTGAAGAACCCTAAACCCTATAAAAACCCTAAGAAAACCCTAACCGAAGTTTGAGTGGTTAGGGTAGGGTACCGGTGACCTAATCAAGAAAATAAAATAGCAAGCATAGGGGGGGAAGGCCGGAGAAAAATAAATAAGCAGCGAGATTTCAAGAGAAAAACAAAAGAAAATAAATAATAAAAATAATTAAGGGAAGAAGTGAACAAAATGTGGAAAAAAAAAATAAGATTTATTTTTTTTTAATTTTCGGCAGCATTTCCCTACCCCCCATGGGGTCAAGAATGTGCCAAAGGAAAAGGAGAGATCTAGATAAGCACACTAAGTTTCAAACTGCCGCAAATAAAAAATTTTAAAAAATAAAGAAAGAAATAATAAATAAATAGATAAATAAGTAAATAAGTGGATGAGGAGGTGGAGAGAAATGGATTATTTGACTTTTCAAAAATTTTGGGAGCATTTCGTTACCCCCATGGGGTCGAAGTGTGCCGAAAAAGACTAAGTAAGAAAAGATCAGAAAATTTCGGCAGCACTTTGTTACCCCCACGGGGTCAAAACGTGTGCCGAAAGCAAGAAAGACTAACACCTAATCAGATTTAGGGTTGCCGTAAAGAAAATCAAATTTTCAGAATAAATAGAAAAATAAATGAAATAAATCAAAAAATGAAAAAAGAAGGTGGGGGAGAAGATAATTCGAATTTTTGGAAAAAAAAAAAAAAGATAAATCAAAAGGGAGATAAAAAGAAGAAAAACAGAAAAAAATTGAAGTAAGGGGGAAGGGGGATGAAAAAGTGAAGGAAAAAAGAAAAAAATAGGTGGGAGAGAGAAAAGATGGAAGTGGAAGGTGGGGGAAATGATGTGGTGGTAGTTGGGGGAGAGGAGGGTTGGGAAAAGGTGAAGAGGGATCAAGAAGCAAGGAGAAAATAAAAGAAAAGAAATAAAGAAAGGAAAGTAAAAGAATGGGTGGTGGGAGAAAGGTGGGGTGGGGAAAGTAAAAGGAGGAGAGAAAAGATGCAGTAGAAGGTGGGGGAAAGAGAAGGGTTGAGTAAGAGGAGAGAGGAGAGGTAGGGAGGGTGGGTTAGTAGAGGGAGGGGAGAGAGAGAAGTGATACCTGACCCTTGGTGTTTCCAAGGGCACAAGGTACACCAAAACCAGGAGGGTCTTGGCCTTCGCTGCAGCAAGCCAGCTGGAGGAGAGAGGGGGCTGAGATCTTAATCAGCCCCCAGTAGCAGTTCTACAGATCTGCAGATCTAGGGTCTGTTGTGTGAGCAGACCCTCACCACTATAGAGCAGCCCCCTAAGCAGGGGGGTCTTGAGTTCCACCACGAGCTGCCACGTGCACAGGCAACAGCAGCGAACGAGGGGGGAGCAAATACCAGCCCGCCCGTTGCTGCTCGCTGCTCGCAGCTCGCCGGCGGCGGGGGGTAAATAGCTAGCACGGCACCTCTTCAACACGAGTGTGTCGTACTACAGGAATATCTACACTCTGTGGCGAGTGTGTTATCAGGGTGCTTACGCACGCGCATGGCCCAGCAGGCCCCTGGGTTCAAACCCCAGCAGCAGCAAAAATCCCGGATCTTGATAATGTAAATCCGGGAGCGGGGCGGGGCGGGGCAACGGGGCGCGTGGCGTGTGAGCGCGTGCGGCGGCCTTGGCCTTGGCGCGCGCAAGCGCTCGTGGTGGCGCCTGCTTTTTTCGCCACATGTCACCCCCCCGCAGGCGCTGCTTTTTCCCTCCTTTTCGCTGGAAATCACCCGAAAAACAGCGAAAAAAAACCGTTGTCGGGTTTGCTGTTTTTCCCAGCTGTAAGGGGTGCTGGGTGTATTCCCAGTTGTACGGGGTGGTGGGTGGAGCGGGGAACGTTCCCGCTCCGATACCAATGTAGCCGACCCACCGGGAAGGTGCTCCGCCTGGGATACAGATGGATATGGAGGATGAGGGAGGAGCGAGATGGCACAGCGCAGCTCCCACGCAAGACTCCAACGCACGTACTCCACAATCGTGCAAGTGTAGAATGATCTCGAAAATAGACAACTGCTGGGGTATACCCCAGCGGACTGAAGGGACTCGACTGGACTGGCTGGTACCGACAGAGGTACCAGCCTGGACTGGACTGCCCTAAATAAAACACAGGCCTTTGAGAACAGGCCAAGGGGTTGGTCTCACAGGCCAACCAGAGGTCCGCTACATCTGAAAATCATGAATGGTTCTGAAGTGGTGAAAGGTCCGAAGACCATGAAAACCACCCTTCACCACTTGAAGATGCAACCTGCCTAAACAGGTGGTTTTCAGGGTCTTCCGAGCTTTCACCACTTCAGGACCATTCAGGATTTTCAGGCATGAATGGTCCTGAAGTGTTGAAAGGCCCGAAAAACCTGAAAACCACCTGTTTAGGCAGGCTGCATCCTGAAGTGGTGAAGCGTGTTCTGAAGTGGTGATGAAAAATACGACTATTGTTAAACTTCTCTCGTGTGTGTGTGCGTGTGTGTGTGTGAGAGGGAGAGAGAGAGATAGAGAGAGCATAGTAACCGCGTGTGGAATCAGGCGCCTGCGTGGACCTGTCTCTTATACACATCTAGATGTGTATAAGAGACAGGTGTGTGTGTGTGTGTGTGTGTGTGTGTGTGAGAGAGAGAGAGAGAGAGAGAGAGAGAGAGAGAGAGAGAGAGAGAGAGAGAGAGAGAGAGGGAGCATAGTGTCGGCGTGTGGTTTCCCAACACTAGATGACCACCACTACACCTGGGAGGGACTCCATTGAGGTTGCTTATATCATATCCATACGTCGGACCTCTTGTGCTGGTAGTGTAAAAAAAAAAAAAAAAAAAAACACCCCGAAACATCTTAGATGAGACACACCTCGATTACAAGGTACGTACCTTGTATTTGAGGGTACCTTTTATTCAAAAATTTAGCGGCGATTTATCGAAACCCGTTTTTCGGAGGTAACTTAAATACAAGGTACGTACCTTGTTTTCAGGTTAAGACGGTAGTCATAAATTGACAACTGGAACAAATCCAAGCTTGAAGTGATGACTACCCAGGACCAACCCTGGGATAGGAAAAAAAACAGAGGATCAGCGAAGGTCATATTCAGTTGGCTAGTACTTCAGTTACACAGTGGCGCGAATCACGAGTTTAAATGAAAGTACAGATCCTTCCATTTTCTAAATTGTAGTGAGCCTTGACGAGTAGACGGAGTTGAACATTCGGCAAATGAACATCTAATCCTGAATCAACCTCCTTGTTGAACAGAAAGATTCGTAGCGAGACTCGATCTTTACACGATAGGGTAAATAATTTTTTATTTTTTTATTCTTTTTAGACCCTGACTCCTTAATCTTATTACTCCCTTCCCCTTCTTTCATTTTTCCCCTTCTTTAAAAAAGAGGGAAGCAATGGCAACCTGAATTAAATTTACAAAGTAGTGGGGCAATCAAGTGGTATTTTATTTGGCTTGTGGATTTACCGTTTGACACTTCACAAGAAATAGCTCCCTGATCCGGAACACATGTCTGTTTCTTCTAATCTTGAAAGTTGTATTCCCCTTCCTTCCCTCCTCTCCTCCTTGTTTTTTTTTTTTTTTTTTTTTTTTTTTTTTTAACCTTTCTTTCATGATGAAAACAAAATTCTGAATCTTCTCATTCTGTAGATAAAAGTTTGCTCAAGCAAGTTTTTAAGCAGTTTAAGGGCAAATGCCTAGACAACAATGTGCAGAGGGTGGGTGATAGGATCCTTGATGACTAGTCCTTCCTTTTTTTTTTTTTTTTTGGAGGGGGGGGGAAGATCTACGTTATAAGGTTTGGGTATAGTGGCGGAGACTGAGTATGATATGCTACAAAGTCCGATACAACCAGATGGTTAGAGGGAGTGGCGACTAGGGATGAAGCAAATTTCTTTCCGTTCCAATTGATTTCATAGGTCGTGAGTAGGACTATGGTTTAATTAGCTTAAAGAGTTTTTCCCAACTAATCCGTATAACCTAAATCGCTCAGTTAAGTGAGAGGGTTGAAAAAATTCATTCGTTTCAGTTTTCATCGGTAGGTCAATGGGACCGTTCGGAGTTAAATAACGGTAATAAGAGGAATGAACCAATGCTCCGACCGATTGAGAGGCAGAGGGTGAGAAGCGAGGTTAAGATTGCTCTCAGGCGTGCTTTTGGAACAGGAGGAAGCAAAACATCATGATCTCATTTTGAAAGATTCTTGGCACCTGAAGATTACGGTGACATAGGGGTAAACCGTGGTTCAAAGTTTGGCGATTGAATAGAAGGGGAACTAGCTAGGACGAAAAGTTACTAAGGGTAAAGTCGTCAGTGGTAAACAACTTATCAAGAGTTGGGTTCGTAAGATAAGCAAGTAGGGCGGAGCGAGTTGTGAACACGAAGGACCAATAAAGTGTTAGTAGCTTCATATAAAAACAGTCCTTATGAGGGTTGAGGAGAAGCAAGTGGATGTGGGTTCCGTTGATTAATGAGTGAGATGATGAGTTAGGTCGGTGAAAGAATAGTGTAGATATGAGTTAGTTGAAGGTAGGGTGGCTACAATTCCTGATTAGCCTCCGCCGTTCTCTTCTTCTGGTAGTACTTCCAAACTTCTTTTTGACATTCGTAAGTGAAAATTCCTTCAATCTGCATCCGTTCCCAAGGGTTGTGAAGCGGGTACTTAATGAGGGTTAGGTTCGTGAAATGAAGCGAGGAGGGTAGAACCAGTCGTGAAGTGCATACGATCTGTAGCGTGTTAGCAGCTATGATGAAAACGTATTTTAATAAAGATTGGGGAATGCAATTAGTGGTGGGTTTCAACGATTAGTGCGTGCCGAAGTTGTGATAGCTGGTGTAGTGAGTAGGCTAGGTGAAAGATGAGTTAAGGTAGGATAGCTAAAGTACTTGATCAACCTCGAACGTTCTCCTCTTCTGATGCTTCCAAGCTTCTATCTGGCATTCACAAGGGACAACTCCTTCAAGCTGCATGCAGTCCCAAAGGTTGTGAAATTGGCACTTCTCTGCACAAAAGATAGAGGGGCCGCCGTTACTACAATACCTTTCCATGAGCTCTGGGAAGTTGCCTCATGAGCTGCTGGATGTCATGGTTGGTTGCAGCTTCTAGCTGAAGAGCTTGGAGAGTAGTAAGAACAAAGGTGGAGTTGCAGTTCGGAAGTAGTGTCGTGCAGGTGATGGGAGTCTGAAGTAGCAGGTGAGCTTTAGCGAGATCTCGTAGAGAGGACAGGTCGAAAAAAATGCAGAAGGTTCTCCTTCGAATGTAGTGATTGCAGACTTTTGGTCGGTATTAAGTGGCAACGGTGACAAATAGTCGGTGGCAAGGTATATCCAGTGACGGGTACCAAAAACGACAGGGATGACGAATAGCCGGTGGCAAGGTAGACCCAGCGAGAGAGCAGGAAGCGGAAAATCCTTCTCTCCGAGGTGAACTCAAGGGCTGCCCAACTGCCGCTACTACAGTGCCTAATACGAGTAGGTGGCCGTAGGTGCCAGTAGTAGTGCAAATACTGGCATAAAAAAAGTAGGCTAGTAAACTGAAAAGGATTCCAAGATTTTACTAAAGAAAGTCAGGGCTAAGAAAGGAAGAAGAACGGAATTACCTGTGATTGTTACTTAGCTACGGTAGATAATGGAGCAACGTATTATTACTCTTCCGGGAAAGTTTTTGCCGAGGGTTTACCAAGCGTGGAGAACGGCAGTTGATTACACAATCGTTCTTCTTGCGGTGCAGGTACCAAGAACAGAGCGCCGCTGAACGCGCATGCGAAAATCCGCCACAAGACGAAGGCCACCCTGGAGAACCGGCTGGGGAAGAAATAGTCAAGCGCCGCCGGGTCCTGGAGAGCCTGGGTGGGGGCAGAATAAGCCTGGCTGAAATTAGCCCTTCCCAAAATGGCATTCCCGGTCCCACCCTCTTTGGGGTGCCACTCCTGGTTACCGGGTCTTGCTCGAATGATGAAGTCGGAGGCATAGAGAGCCCTTGCGGGCTATTGGCCTCAAATGAGCCCTGCGCTGGACTCCAAGGCTGCTGCCGCCGCTGCCGCTGCTGCCGCGAAAAACCCACCGCCACTGGTCTGGACGATTGTCCAGATACAGTGTTCCCTTCCGAAGCTGCTGGCCAGTTGGCTAAAGAGCCTGAGTAAGTGCCAGCGTAAACCTTGGTACCAATGTCTGAACCACCCATGATTTCTGATTCCAAATGCCTTGCCAGTCTGGTCTCCGGGGGTCCTTCTTGACGGCGGACTCCCCGTGGACGCTCACTTCCTCCTTCAACGGTGAGCGGGAGACCTCGCCTTCTAAGCGCCTACGGCCACTCCACGCCTACTCCCGCGTCTACGAGCCTGCTTTCGCCTACTCGCTACGCCCGGGGCCTACTCCCACCCGCTCGAGGTGCTTAGTCCCGTCTGCATTCTCTCTCTCTCTCTCTCTCTCTCTCTCTCTCTCTCTCTCTCTCTCTCTCTCTCGCGGGTTCCGCTTTGGTGCTTCGTAGCACGTGGTCCGTGCTTCGGTGCTTTGTGGTACGTGCTTGGTGCTTCCGTGAAACATTGTGGATTCTGTGCTTCATGTTTCGTGCTTCGTCCATTGTGGATTCTGTGCTTCATGATTCGTGCTTCGTCCTTGCCACTTCGTGGATTCGGTGTTTGGTGCATCGTGGGTTCGTGGTGGATTCGGTGCTGTGAGTTGGTGCTTTCGTGAATCGGTGCTGCGTGGATCGGTGGTTCGCGCGTGGATCGTGAGTTCCTGCTAAGTGCTCCGACGTGAGCTTCGATGTGGATTCCTGCTAGAGTGAGTGTTTCTACTTCACCTCGAACCCACACCTCACTGCGGGCAAGCGGGTCAGGCTCTTGAGAGAGAGAGAGAGAGAGAGAGAGAGAGAGAGAGAGAGAGAGAGAGA